CGCGCCCCACGCCGGCGCCCGGCGCCTGCTGCTGCTGCCCAGGTCCTACAAAGCCAAGGCGGCGGCGGCGCCTGGGGCCACTTGCTTGGAGAGGTTTCATCTGATCAATGGCTTCTGCCCGCCTCCCCATCACCACCACCACCACCACCATCACCACCACCATCACCACCACCACCGGGCCCAGCAGCCGCAGCAGAACCACCCCGCCCCTCACCACCACCGGCCGCAGCCCCATCTGGGCAGCTTCCCCGAGAGCTGCAGCAGCGACTCCGAGTCCAGCTCCTACTCGGACCACGCAGCTAACGACTCGGATTTTGGCTCCAGTCTGTCTAGCTCCAGCAACTCGGTGTCCTCGGAGGAAGAGGAGGAGGAAGAGGAGGAGGAGGAGGAGGGAGAGGAGGAGGAGGAGGAGGAGGAGGAAGAGGGAGTCAGTGGGGCTTCGGACTCCAGTGAAGTCAGCTCGGAGGAGGAGGACTCCTCGGAGGAGTCGGACTCCAGCTCCGGCTCCAGCCAAGTGTCCGTGCAGAGCATCCGTTTCAGGCGCACCAGCTTCTGCAAGCCTCCCAGCGTGCAGGCGCAGGCCAACTTCTTGTACCATCTGGCCTCCGCCGCCGTTGCAACCAAACCCGCTGCTTTCGAGGATGCCGGCAGACTTCCCGACCTCAAGAGTAGTGTCAAAGCTGAGTCGCCAGAGGAGTGGAATCTGCAGGGCTGGGCCTCCAAACCGTCTCCGGTGTACTGCCAGGCCAGCCTGGGGAGTTGTTTCGCGGAGATAAGGGACGATAGGGTATCTGAGATTACATTCCCACACTCGGAAATTTCCAGTACTGTAAAGAGAACTGACCTGACAATTAACTGCCTGGCGGAGGGAGCCTCTTCACCTAGCCCAAAGACAAACAATGCATTTCCACAACAAAGAATACTCAGAGAGGCTAGGAAATGCCTACCCGCAACTCCTACGACACCCAGTGCAGATAACAACACAATAGCTGCTAGGTTCTCAAATCACGATTCCGTGGGAGCAGCAGCAAACTCAGAACAGGATTCTAAAACCCTTCATTGTCCTGCCTTTGCTGCGGATTTGCCCTCTTTGCAAACTGACCGGGAGGTGGACGCAGCAGCAGCTAAAGCCGAGAATCCGTGCACTGACCCAGGCGACAAGGCATTGCCATTTCTGCACAATATCAAAATCAAAGTAGAAGATAGTAGTGCTAATGAAGAATATGAACCTGACCTTATTACAAATAAGCTAAAGTGCGAGTGCAATGATACAAAGGGTGAGTTTGACGGTGTGACTGAAAGTAAGGAGGAGGACACCTTGTTAACCACAGCCAAGGAAGGGTTTGCATGCCCTGAAAAAGAAAGTCCTTCCTTAAATCATCTGGCTCACAGTCAGGGCCTTTCATGCACTTTAGGTTCTCCAAAACCTGAGGATGGGGAATATAAATTTGGTGCCAAGGTGAGAAAAAATTACCGGACACTAGTACTGGGAAAGCGACCTGTACTTCAGACACCTCCAGTCAAACCAAATTTGAAATCAGCTAGAAGCCCTCGTCCTACAGGTAAAACTGAGACACATGAAGGAACACTGGATGATTTTACAGTTATAAATAGACGCAAAAAGGTAGCCAGCAATGTAGCATCGGCAGTGAAAAGGCCATTTAATTTCATGGCAAATTTCCCTTGTCCACCATCACTCATTATTGGGAAGGATGGGGATTTGTGGCCGGCGTATTCCTTAAACACCACTAAGGATTCCCAACCTCCTCACAAGGCCCATCCTATATGGAAATGGCAGCTGGGCGGTTCTGCAATACCTCTTCCACCTAGTCACAAATTCAGGAAATTTAATTCATAAAAATGTTTTGGAAGATATTTTCTTGAACCATATTACCTTCCTTTTGTTGTAAACTGCACAGGATGGTTTGTACAAGTCCATTAATATGTTACACCCCTTTTGGAGTCCTGGTTTATCACATTTTGAAGACAGAAATCGGATTAATTTTTTTTTCCATTGAGTTTTTTTTTTTTTTAAGTAGAGTGGGGGCGGGGTGGGAGAAGGGTTGGTTTACATTCCACAGACTACTTCAGGCTAAAGACTCAAGTAAAACTCAGTTATTACGGTAGAGCTGGGACACTTTACTGTTTCGATGCTAATAATGCATGAGTCAGTCGGAATCTACAACGGGTTTGTTTGGACCTCAGTTCAACTGCTACAAATAAATGTCAAAAGGTTGAATAATAAATATTACAATGAGCCATTAAGTTTATGCACTAGATTTCAGACCTGAAAGTGTAACTGCTAAGTCAGTGAAAGTTTGTTAAGTTTCATGGTTACACAATGAGGTAGCAAGAAGTTTCTGTGAGCCCCAAATCTTCTCTTCTGAAGCTCTTGTTTGTGGGGTCTTTTTCTTTTTACTACCCTCTTTTCCCTCTCTACAAGGGTAGTTGCACTTAACTTTGGAGGGGGGGGAGTGGAAAGATTAGGCTGTGAGTCCTGCTTGAATGCTGATAAAAGCTGCCTCATAGAGACTAAAGCGACATAAATATGGGATTGCTTTCTTTCCCCCTTTGGGGGGGGGGGGTAAAGCTATGTTACTTTTACAGCCGCTCCTTGCAATTGGAAGTCTTTTTTTGTGTTCTTATCCAAAGGCTTTAAATAACAGTAACTCTTACTCACTATTACCCTGCTTACCTTGTGGTCTGAGCATGAACCCTCAATCTTGCAAAACAATGAAAGTATTTCTTAGTAGCAGGACATTCCATGATCTAGTAGTGAACACAACCAAGAAAGAGAAAATGAGGAGTCAGAGTACTAAGACTACCCCAAAAGAAAAAAAAAGAAAAAAAAAGACCGTTATTTCAGGGCTTTTTGGTACCAGAACTCAGGCGTGTGGATTTTATGATCTTTTCCTTTTCTTCTACATCTTTCTAAACTTCTGTTTTCAGACCATCCTGTGACTAGCACAGGAAAGTTTCTACTGCAAGTGACAATCAGAGGTGACTATATTTGCACTTAAAATCAAACTAGTTCAACATGCAGATGGCTAGGGTCTAGCCCTTGGTAAGGGCCATGCTGGTGTACTATGTTGTGATGATGGAAGCAGTAAATCAAAATTATGGAAATGTGCACTGTTGAAAAGCATGCTTTAGCTTTATTTTCAATTAAAAACACTGTTTAAAATTTCTGGTTCCATACATTTCTGCTTATTCCAGATTGAAGGAATGAATGGTTTTGTTGACATTTTCACTTGTAATGGTCTTGCTTGAAAGAAATGCATTTATGAGGTATAGTGTTTTATTGTAATACTATGTGATGAGGCCAGTCAGGTTCTGTGCAAAAAAAAAAAAGTGGATTTCTTCCTAATTAACAACAACAATACTTTACACACTTGTTACAAATCAAGGGCAAAAAGTTTTAGGTTTAAGAATTGAAGCAGAGACTAGTTGTTATTTTAATGAGACTTTAATCTAATAATTGTTGTTCAACCCCCCTCCTTAGTCTGACAAATTATGTATCTCAGATCCTTGCCATCTTAAACCCAAGGAGTTGCATCCATAGGTCATAAATCACAAAAGAAAACACCAGCGGAAGTGTTTACTGTGTGGATTTGAGTCACTGTTTTTCATAGAAATGCAATCTGGGTTTTTTAATTTTTAATTTTTTTCATTAACCTTTTAATTCCTATTCCCTTTGAAACTTTCTTTTGTCTATAAATGTTTCAGATAGATCTGGATGGTCTCAGGCCTAATTGCTGTATATGCTCTGTGGTTTTCCTCTTATTGTAAAGGACAGAGGCTAAGAATACCTGCATCCAAATACATTTGGATGGAGTAAACAGATGCTTTGAACTACCTCTCTTCCTTTACTTCTTGAATGTTACCAGATGTAGGTTCACTGGACCCCCCCCCTTTTTTTATTGCTTTGGTAGATATGGTCAACGCAAAAAATTGGGATCTTATTCCTGAATTCATGGTTATAATATAGTTCCAAAGACCAGTAGATGTTACTGCTAAAGTCCCAGGAAACTGGGTAATTGGCTTCTCAGTCTTAATTCCTTTTAAGTTGGAGGACAATATAGAATGTGGGTGCAGTGAGTTGTCCTGAAAAATCTATCTGTAAAGAAGGTCTCACACACACACACACACACACACACACACACACACACACGATGTCTATGATTTCTACTCTTTAATTACTATGTCAAGACAGTTGAAAGTACGTTACTCTTACATGTAGACTAGTACTTTTCTTGTTGCCTATAGAATTATTGTTCCTAAAATACAAATTGAGAATAGTTTTGAAGTCTACAGACTGAGAGATGAAATAAGCACAACTTAATACAAATATACCTTATGGAATCTCTGACATAAAATATGGGCCTTTCAGCTTTGACACTTGGTCTCCAGCCCTTGGAGAATCAATAGTTTCCGTTTAGGAGCTGGAGAATGAGCAGCATGGAAGCTGAGGCATTCCAGAATGATACCATCAAAAGGAAAGAAATTAAATAGTCAACACAAATTTCACCCACAGTACTACAACAAGCCAGCCAACCACAGTCAAGCCTCTGAGTTCAGGCTTCTGTTAGGAAAGTGTACCAAATAGTATGCAGTAACTTGCAAATACAATGTATCCATTCAATTTCTGGTAACTTTCCCATTCTGCTGTGGGAATCATCCTCAAGACATTTTATTTTCATTGTTTTATGATTTATGACTATATGTAGCTTTTCTTAGCTGCTTTATAAGCCCCATTTGTCCAAAAAGTTAAGCCCCATTGAAGGAAAAAGAAAAGTTACCTCCTTTGCTAGATTGGATTTTTATACCTAAACATTTTTCAGGGAATAGCGTTTTTTTTAAACAACCTGTACTGGGGCCACTGATTCTTATTGCCTAAAATAGCTTAGCATTCATAGACATGAAGGAAATATAGGAAGGGGCTTTTCCCCTGACTTTGGGCTAGTTGGGATGGGAGGATAGGGGTGGGTGGGTGGAGCAAACATTACTTTTGGTCTCCTGTAAAAGAAGTTTCCTGGTAAGAACATGAAACGAAGATTTGATTTTTTTTTTTTAATGTTTGTACTGTGTCCCACAGTCATTATCTGCCTATGTCATAGAAAGAGCATGTTCTTCTTCCTTCTCCAATGTGGATGTTCTTCTCTACTGGCTTGCTTGATTACAGTGGAGTGATTTCAATAATGGTTGTGTATTTTAAAACCAACAGAGAACACCACTAAACAGCAATCACACAAACTAGATGGGCTGTTGTGTCGATTTTTATCTTATCCTGTGTGGGTGACTTTCAATGGTCTAGAAATCCCTCAAAGTTCCGTTCAACAATAATTGGAAATTATTGCAGATAATAGGGGTAGTTGGGGTTTTTCTTGCATGCAGGAAGAGCTGTAGAAACTAATCCCTCAAAAGCAAACCCCCCCCCTACAAGAAAACAAAAGTCATCCATGGTTAAAAAAAAAAAAAAGAAGACATTTATTTATTTATTTAAATAAAGTATTCGCATCTATAAAAGTCAGAACATGTGGTGAGTTTTGCTTCACCTTGAAATTAACATCCTGCTGGATATGGTGTGAAAAGAGCCAAGAAGGCAAGATCTCCACACTGGGGGGAAGAGGGGGGTGGGGGGGGGAGGCAGGACTCCTCAACTAACCTTAAGAAATTGGCCAGGAGGAACAGGGAGTCTCTACCTAGGGAGGCCACCCGGTCACCCAAGTCATCCCAGGATTTAAAATCTATTTTAAAAGCTAGCTTTGGTTTTGGTTTGCTCCCTAGGCCAAAGGGCATTTTGCAAAACTAGCTGTGGGGACGCAGGGCGGATCTAGGAGGTGGAGGAGGATCGATGCATTTTACCTGTTTAGCAGGCCTTCTCTTTGCTTAAAAAAGAAGAGGGGGGGACCCAACTATCATTCTTTGCTCTTGCCCTCGGCCCCCGCTCCTCTCTCGCTCCTTTTCAAACTGTGGCGGCCTCACAAGCTCCCACTTTAAAAGGCCTGAGATGTTTTGCATGAAGCCCTCACAATGGGGGTTGAGGGAATTGACAGTTTCAAAAACAAGGCGTTCAGTCCTTTCCAGCTGCCGGGCCAGCTCGCTCGCACCAACGCCTTGTTCCTCTCTGCTGGTGGCGTTCTCCGCGGCGCGCAGCCCCCACCCCTACCCCCACCCCCGCCCGCGAGCGCTCCGGCCGGCCACCCCGCCCCCAGCCTGTGTTTGTAAACAGGGGTCAGTGTCCAGGGGCTGCTGGCAGGGCGTTTGGGCCTGGCGAGCGCACCGGGATGGCTGGGCACCGCCGAGGCAACGAACGAAGGGTCGGCGGGCCAGCGAGGCCGGGCCCGGGGATCCTGGGGCGCTTGCGGTCACTTTCCCTGCTGACCGCCGAGCTCTGGGGGTCGTGCTGACCTGGGGCGGCCCGCGGCTTCTCTGGGCCTGGGCCGCCCCCAGCAGCACTGGGAGCTTGAATGCCGCCATCTTGCATGGTGACAAACATTTTCTTTGTGACTTTTTCCCCCCTCCCGCCCATTTCTTGCTGGCCTCTGCCTTGGTGCCGGACTCGCTGCCCCGGGCGGGCGGGAGGAAGAGCTCGCTGCCCTGGGCGCGCGGCCCCCGGCTCCTCGGGCGGGCGCAGTGGCCTCCCACCCAAGCGGCCTGGTGGCCGAGTCGGCCGGGGCGGGAGGAGGGGGCGCCAGGGCGCGCGGTGGGCCTTGGCCCGCTCCCGGGCCGGCCCTGGGCCACGGCTGCCCTGGTTCTGGGCTCCTTTTGTGTGCTCTGTAGCCACCTCACAGCCCCGCACACGCACAGGTTGCCTCGCCACGGCTCACCTTCCATAGCTCAAGGCCTCCTCTACTCTCTCCCGCGGGCTCGTGGGCCCCGCTTTGTGCCCTGGCCCAGGGCCCGCCAAGGCCTCCAAAATGCGAGTGCAAAGAGATGGGGGTGTCGGATTCGGCCCCCGTGCGCCCATCGCCTTCCAGAAAGGGAAGGGACCCAAGAGATTCCCGGTCTGGGGAGGGTGCGGGAGCCCGGCGCCGGCCAGGGGGACTCCCGACGTGGGAGTGGTGGGGTGGCCTGGCTTGCTGGCTTGGGGCGCGGAGGTGCCCGTCCCCCTGCAACCTCACAGGGCAGCAGAAAGTGGAAACAGTGGCCTGGAAACGGGAAACGCGAGACAGTGACCTGGAAACCCACCCCGGGCTGGGGCGGTGGGAGCGCAGCAATGCAAACAAAGCTGCGACTTGCGGCAGCGGGGAAGCAGAGGTGCACCGCAGCTAGGTCACCAGCGAGTGCAACACGCTTGTTTTCCCCGGGTGTTTAAAATGCAGCCCCAGTTGTAAAGTGTGTGAAATTACGCACTGGTCTCTTAAAGAGGGCCTAATTTATAGTAAATAGCAAGGTCTTTGTAAATGGCTTTATTATGTTGTTTCTTGTTAATTGTTGAGAAAATCCCCATTGTTGAGTGTGAAAGGCTTTACGAGCTAACCTGGTTCTCGCGTCATCAGAGGGCAGTAAATGGCCACTCGGCCTCCGAGGCCCAGCGCCGAGGCCGGCGCCGGCTGAGAGGGCCGCGGTGACCTCCGGAGCTGCGGCCTCCTGCCCAGGGGGAGCCCAGGGTGGGGGTGGGGACGGCGAAGGTTTGTGGGCTTTCATTAGGCAGGGGCAGGTTTTGAACTCGCGAGCTGTTGGCTGAGTGAGGCTGGGGGAACCTCGGCAGGCCGGGGCGGCGAAGGCGCCGGGAGAGGCGAGGGGCACAACCCGCAGGGGGTCGCGCCTGGGCCCGCCAGGGCTCCGGCTGGAGCAGCGCCGGGTGGTGGGATGGCTGCTGGGGCTTTGTCTCCAGTTGCCTAGCCGCTAGGAGCGCGCGCTGCGGCCGGGTCGGCCCAGCCTGCGGAGCCCCCTGTGCACGCGGGGCCGGGGGCCTGGAGGGGTCCGCGGGCAGAGCAGGCGCTGAAGGAGCGCTCCAGACCCCTGCCTGCGTCTCCTCGTCTTTTGTCTAGAGCTTTCCATCTCCCTCACTCTCTTCTCCCCTCTCTCTTTCTCTCCCTCTCTCCATTAGAAACGTGAAGTGGACTCAGAAAGCAGCTGAAAGAAGAGAAGACAGGAGTCGGTTTTTATTTTCACAAGAAAAACAGTTTCTCCTTTTTTTAGGCTCACATGAAAAGACAGCCTATCTCCTTTTCCTTCAGT